ATATACAATTTATTACGCTGCAAATTACTTACAGTGACAACTTATCTGAGGCAAATCTCCTTTGCATACCACTCGACATGCCATTATGGTTGTTTTTTTTTGCGGTACTTTTTGTAAGCTGGTGCACCCGTACGTGTCTACATGTTCAGACGAAACTTGTCCTAAGTGCTTCCCTGAGCTAGCAATACACGTAACTCAACTGAGACATCGGAATACTTAGCCGGAAGTGAACAGCTTTAGAAATGGTAAATAGACACTGGTAAACGAAACCTGGAAATACTTAGTACGCGCAACCCCATCTGCCGCAATGTCGCTGGGGTAAAACAGCTCAAGATAACTAAGATACACACCAGCCCTCTTCTACCAAGCCGATTTCTAGGAATGAGATCACGAGGTAAATCAAGATTTTGCAAGGACCCTCTTGGTAAACAACTCTATGTAAACGTACATAATTTTCGTCTCTGCGTTATAGCGGAACCATTTCTTGAAGAACCTAGAAGAGCCTACAGACTAATGTAACGCCAGTGTTAATGCTAGATCAGCGCATCACTCTCAGCCCGCACCTCAATTCCGAAGAATGACACCTGATAAGAATGCACAGGTATACACAGAACACGCACACATTTAAAGCTGGCGCAGTTATTACTTCTTCCTATTTGATCAGCAGATGTTGACTACGCCAGCGTCTCCTCACTGAACATAACGGCGCGTGGAGTGTCCCTCAGCGCCTCCTGCGGTATGGCGTTAGATGCACTGCTTGTCCGGCATCGCACACTGCGAATTGGTACGAAAATAGGCCTCTCTTCCATGCGCCTCTCAAAAATAGCTGAAACAAGATCTAAGTAGCGCTGCTTTAAAGCGCACCCTTAGCACAATCTGGAGGGTGGTACTGAACACACCGAAGCGTTCCGAGATCTGCGTACCAGCAGCGGTAAATGCTCACCGTTACCATTTCAAGTACCCAGTGGCACGTGGCAGTGCTTTCTAAAGCGGTAGGCTGCGGAGTCAGGAGTCACAGATTCAAATCTAAACAGCGCAGGTCGCAAATTTATTCTACCGATTTATTTTTGTTTGTGGCTTTACTTACCTACCTATCTTAGCCACCCACCTACCTACCTACCTACCTACCTACCTACCTACCTACCTACCTACCTACCTACCTACCTACCTACCTACCTACCTACCTACGTATGTAGATACGCACATGCGCACATACATACATACATGCATACATACATACAACATACATACATACATACATACATACATACATACATACATACATACATACATAAATACATACTGTCACAGATATATGCGTAGAAGAGAACGACATTCGAGGTGTTTTGCAGACTCCTGGTAGCGGGACAATAGGTTTAGAAAAGAAAGACGAAGATGGTCTTCGGCATACAGTTGATTTTGAAACAAGGATCATTATCATCATTATCATCAGCATCATCATCAAACAGCCTGTTTCACCGTCGCAAGCTGTTTCTAATAATTTTTGTTCTCGCTACACCACAACGCCGTGGTGTAGCGAGACGTGCTGGCTTGTAACCCCGCCTGATGCTCTACACTCCCATGGAAAGCCGTTCATCTAGCCCGGACGCACTTGTAGAAACTCCCGTGCGTCGCTTCAGTCGTCGCTTGTGAGGCCTCCTCCAGAGTTCACCCCTACGCATGAGCCGCCCCCCCCCCCCCCCCCAAGGCACCGCTCACTTCTACCAATGGCCACCGCCAGTCCACAACAGGTACTACGAGACATTAGTCCGCCAACCCCATCTCAGGTAACAGTCTTTTTGCCACTTGTGCCTGATCGCTTTGGCGGTGGCGCACATGAAGACGTCGAAGGCTGGCTTGATCGCTATGAACGTTTCACCAACATCAATCTGCGGTGTGTTGAACAAAGGCTTCCCCGTCCTATTTATATCTCGACGACAGTGCTCGTACTTGGTATGAGAACAGAGAAGGCAGTTTGTCAACATGGAGTCACTTTAAACGGCATATGATTGACACACTTGCCAATGTCGACCGGTGCTACCGTGTGCAGCAATTACTCGAGCTACGGGTTCAGAAACCTAATAAAACGGTCAAAATATTCACTGCGTACATGGCCCGTCTCTTCCGTAGAGCTGACCCGCACATGACCTGCGACAAGAAGTCGCGCTACCCCATGCGAGGCGTTAAGGAGCAGTTGTTTGCTGGACATTTACGCAACCCACCAAGCACCGTGACAGATTTCATCAAAGAGGCTACGGCTATCGAGCGGGCGCTTCACAACTACGATGCCGACAGTACGATCGCTTGTCCAACAGCGCCCACATTTAAGTCACTGCTACGACGTCTGACAATCAAGGCTTATTACGCGATTTATAAGAGAGTTTGTTCGCGAAGATCTGCTGAAGTTGCGGACTCTGTTTGCGGACACACCCACGGGGTCTGTCACTGAAGTCGTTCGTGAAGAAATACGCCAAGCGTTTTTAACAACTGATCCTGCTCACGAAAAGCGACCCATGAGCTACGCAGCCGCGCTTCGCCGCCCGCCACAGGTTGCGCAATCGTGCCATCAGCAGCCGTTCTTTGGTCACCACCGCATGAACAGACACCGCGACGCCCTTCCATCGTGCCGCCATACGAAGAGCCGTCTCCCGACTTGACGTGGCATTCGCCACATTACGAGCCGTTGCGGCGTCCACAGCTTCGCAAAACAGGCGCCTGGTGCACTGTAGACAGGCGTCCGCTTTGTTTTAACCGCGGAGGTGTGGGCCACATTTCCCGTCATTTCTGGCACCACGTCTATACGTTTCATATTTTCGGCCATCGTCTGAGAATCGACGCCCCAGCGACGACTACGCACCACGCCTCGAGGACGCCGATTCTCCAGGACCCTCTCTGTCTCGGTTCTATTTTGACAACAATGACGACAGTGTGCCTTATTACCAGCCAGGTTTGGGACGTCCACCACACTCTCCGTCTCCGGCCTATTCACCTTCGTCGCACCACCACACTACTGCTGACGTCAGTCAAAGGATGTCACTCATACCACGCCGGGGAAACTGAAGGCGGTGACCTCCGAGGGTGGAGTTGCAGGCCGTCAAGGCGAAGAAAAAAGGCCCCCTTTACTCTTAACACAGGACGCCGTAAAGCCGACTAGTCGTAACACCGACAAAACTGACGACAGATCTTACCGTTTTTGTAGATGGACAGCAAGTAACAGCCCCTGTTGACACCGGTGCCGACTTTTCTATTATTAGCGATAACCTCGCCGTATGCCTCAGTAAAGTGAAGAATACGTGGACGGAACCTCACTTGAGGGTGGCAGGCGGCGAGCTGTTGATGCCTGTCGGAAGGTGCGCAGAAAGACTCGACATCGGTGGTTCTTTTTTCGCGGCGATGTTCGTTATCCTCACCTCAAGCTGCAAAGACCTGATCATAGAAATTGACTTCTTAACAGAATATGGCACAGTCATCAACATCCCGGACTGTTCAGTTACGTTCCGCAACAGCCCTAGATTAGTCGACTGTTCAGGCGCGATACGTAAAACTTTACGTATAACTGATGATGATGTGGTCGTGCCGCCACGGTCATGCACTCTTGTTTCGGTGGAAGGGCACAAATCGTTTGAGGGTGAAGGTCTTGCCGACCGAATCGGCTCGCTACTATTTAACCATGGCATTTCGATTGCACGAGGTATCGTCCTTCTCACTGGCGGATGCACGAACTTGCTATTGACCAACTTTATTGTTTAGCGACGGCGCCTTCCGAAGGACACAGCTATCACTTCGTTCGACAATATCGTAAAATTACAAGGCAGTTTATGTTTATCAGTATTGGACGAAGCGCGTAATCAAGAACCAAAACACGTACTAGACGTTGGCTCCTCTCTGTCAAAGGTTGACCGCTAGAGACTTCTTCAGCTGCCAGCCGAATTCAGTGACTGCTTTTCTTCGACATCATGAGTCGGTCAAACACCATTGACAAAGCATCGAATAATCACTAAAGACATGGCGAGACCTATTCGCCAGAATCCTTATCGTGTAGCTCTAAAGGAATGCGAAGTCATACAGCAACAAGTCGCGAAAATGCTCGAAGATGACGTTATTCAACCGTCACAGAGCCCTCGGGCATCCCTTGTAGTGCTAGTAAAGAAAAAAAACAGCACCCTGCGTTTTTGAGTTGACTACAGGAAGATTAATCAGGTGAGCAAGATAGATGTGTACCCACTCCCACGTATCGATCACTCCCTTGACAGACTTCGGCACGCTCGCTACTTTTCTTCCATGGACTTGAGGAGCGGATACTGGTAGATCAAGGTAGACCCAAAAGACCAGGAGAAAACCGCTTTTGTGACGCCACATGGTTTATATGAATTTAACGTCTTGCCTTTCGGTTCGTGTTCCCAGCCCACAACTTTTCAAAGGCTCATGGACACCATACTTTCGGGATTGAAATGGAAGACGTGCCTAGTTTATCTGGATGATGTCAGTGTTGTCAGACACTTTTGACGAGAATTTGGAAAGGCTGGAAGTTGTTTTACGTGTCATACGGTCCGCAGGCCTGCCATTCAAACCAGAGAAGTGCCATTTCTGTTTCCACGAACTTCAGTTTCTCAGTCGCGTTGTCAATAACGCAGGCGTTCGGCCCAATCCTGGAAAAATTGCCGCTGTCACGCAGTTCCCAGTACCGTCCCAATACGTACGTACGTACATACATACATACATACATACATACATACATACATACATACATACATACATACATACATACATACATACATACATACATACATACATACATACATACATACATACATACATACATTCATACATACATGCCTACATACGAGACATGCCCACGACGACAGAAATTCGTCGAGTCTCGATATAATTTTTGCTTCTGTATGTCAAACTTGTATGCCAATCTACTATGGTGTCTGAAAGAGACGAGCAGCATTCATAATATATAAAGAAACACTACTGGCATAAAAGCGGAACCGCACCTGCAATGGTAGCCTTAATCTTATCCGCCAAGGGCCCCGCGGCCTTGTGACACATGTACTGGTCCCGGGGCACTACCGCAGCCGCTGGTTTCCTCCGTATAAAGTGTGCGGTAGCCCCACCACTGTCACTTCGGCAATGTCTTCGGAGAGCTCCTGTAGCAGCAATTTTTCAAGCTCAGCAGGAACAACTTGGTTGTCCATGCATTTTATCATCTCTTTCAGCCTCTGGACGAAATAGAAACGCCCGTCCTCGTCGTAATAACCAACGTCACCTGAAAAAATCGGAGGAAGAGCACTAAGAGTTTTTGAAGAGACATGTTAAGCACCTCTCGCGCATTTTGGATAACTGAATAATAACCCATCTTTGTGGCGCTGGTTTTCAGTCATAAATAAACACGAATGGCCTAATCTTTCTTTAGAGATCACAGGATTGCTCCTTCACGAAACAGTGTTTTAGGTATTACGACGAACCTTTAATTCTTATTGCGCGTGGTTGCGTTATCCGAGAAAAACTACTAACGGTTCAAGTAAAAAGCCAACCAGTACGGCTGTCATTTGCAAGTGACAGACAGACGCGCCGTGGTTTCGTGGATGGAGCTAAGCGATTAGAAATGGGCTGCTGAGTTAAAAAAACTGATTTATCCTCCTTAGGAGCAATATAACACAGGCCAGGATTACATGATCGAATGACTGTGCAGCTACACGGCGGTGCTTTTTGAGCTTTAGACAGCATTTGTATGTTTACTGTACATCCGGGATGACTCACTGCTCTCTCATAGTTGAGTACGATGTACTTGAAATCCTTAAACGCTTTTCATAAACACACGGCATTCTCTTACTATGCAGAAATCGCTGAACGCTCCAACATGTGTTCCACTGTTATAATATAGTGTAGTGACGTGAGAACTGATAGTCGAAGTACCGCTTTGCAATGGAAATATACATCGACATAACGGGCCACTAAACAGCTAAATTAATTTTCGCGCAATAATAACGTACATTTCGAAAATCCCGCAAACACCACTATTACCGACTCCAGGCCGGCCATCAAAGCCTTCGAACGTGGAGTCATCTCCGACCAGGCGTTACGTATCCTGCGCAATGCGGACCCGAGTGCGCTGAAGCACCACACTGTCATCTGGTTCACCGCCCATCTCGGCCAGGTGCCGGGTGCCCTATCCAACCTCAACGAGATCGCCCATGATGCAGCGCGCGCCCATACCGACCGCACTGCCACAGGGCAACCTCATCTTGCTGGGTTAGATACCAATCGGGATGCACCAATTACGTACAATGAAATTACAAAGCACTTTTACCTGGAACGCCGCATTTTTCCACCCCCACATCCGAAACTTAACCGACCGCAGGCATTAACCCTACGCCTATTACAGACACACACATACCCAAACCTTGCCACGCTTCACGTTTATTATCCCGATGCATACCCCAGCGACACATGCCCATCATATGGACACACAGCGACACTCTCACACATGCTCTGGGAGTGTAGAACAACTCCTCCCGACTCTACCTCAAGCAAGTGGGAGAGGTCCCTCAAGAGCCCACTTCTCGCCGACCAGCAATGGGCCGTCCAGCAGGCCCACGAAGCGGCCGCCAGGTACTCCCTGTCGGTCCCTACGTGGGAGACGCCCGCTACGCGCTAAGCGCATCCTGCTGGACTGAAATAAAGTTTTTTCATTCCATTCAACCACTATTACCGCGACGTGGCACTTGGTAAGCTAAATAACTAGGGAGCCTTCATGTGCGCGCGTCTCCGTGTTCTAGGGTGGTGTCAGCATTTACCCACCACTTGCCGCCGTCCGCTAAAACACAATGTGGCAAGTCCCGGTGTTCATGGCAACTAGCGTCATGTTGGTTCTTGCGGCCAGCCGTTCCTGCTGCGTTGCACTTCGCCAGCTGCATGACGGCGCGGGTGTGGAAGTTGCAGTATGAGCTACGTTTGACTACACCGTAGACGTAGCTTCCACTACGACACTAGCCCCGCGCTAACCACACCTGCAAGGACTTTGAAGTGTAAATGCAAGGGTGCTGCGTGCCGCAATGCTAAACCATCTGGAGGCTTTCCCGCTTTCCGACTTGCTCTATCTAACGGAAACACTGGATTACACAAGTGAAGTGAGACTGCTTGCAGCCGACTACTTCTCCCTGTGTTTGCTAGGTGACTACCCGTTGCATAGCGTGTGGGTTGAATATCATGCCGCACATTTCTTGAAAGGGCTGACTTAGCCATGCAACGAAAAGCAGTTTAAGGAAAGTAAACACGACAACGTGCACAGTATAAAAATTAATCAGGCTTCGTTCAACTACGCCGCGCTATGCGAGCGAAAGCTGGTTGAGTATGCTTGTTTATCCTCGTAGTCGAAGCACAGTTCACCAATCGAATGATGCAACTAGTCGAACTTGTGGTCCTGCACGCATTCACTATCTGCGCTTTATCGATTTCCGAAGCCGTTCCGCAATCGTTGCGGAAAACACCAAGCCCGTGAACCCTCTAGAGACGCTTGCGTTCACGTCTTCCTTTGCTTGCAGATGTTCGTGTTCCTGCAATTTCACCTCGGTCGCTGTGGAAGGACATTAGGACAGGTAGACTTACGAGCCGACGAACGCGTTCTGTGTAGACTCTCGTAGTCTTGCACAGTTGCAACACAACAAAAATTTGTGCGGCTTGCCTTGGGGTATTCATTCTGCCCTTCAATGACACGCGGAACCACACCGAAACTCGCTCAATAATTACAAAAAGTATTTCTCTTTAACATAGAATGCGGCAGATTTACTTTTCGTGTCCGTCTGTTTTTCTGTCTGTCTGTCGGTCCTGAAGGCGCAGTACATGTGCACAAAGCAAGTTGGTTGTTGGCCCATAACGCAAATATGCTCTATGTGCAGCATTTGTTTCATAACCAGCCACACGGATGATTTGATATCGTAAACTCAGTTTTTATTCAGTGCTAGTAGAGAAAATGAGTATGGACTCCGTTACGTGGTCGGCGCCGTATATGACTTTTCGTCTTCTTGCTTTATTGTAGGCCCACTGCGAGGACACGAGCTTTTAGCAATGGAGGCTGGACGGTTTGAAGAAATTAAGGCCACATGCCGGTTGCATGCTGTTTGCAATAAAACATGACCTGAAAAAACTTGGTTTGTCCCTTGTTGCTCCCCTTTGTTTTCTTCTAGCCTAATATGCAGGCTTTTGTGGGGTTAGGGTTGGTGTAATATGATTGAGTGCTTTACTGTTTTCGGGAAATACTGACAGGTTGTAAGGTTTTTAAGAAGTTCAATGCACAAACTCGTCCGAAGGAAGTAAACTTACTGCAGGAAATTACATTATGGACAAAAGTAATATTTCAGGTACGAGAAACAAGCAAGCGGAGTTATGCGGTTTACAGAGAACATCGCGAGCTGCCAAGTTGTTTGATCTGCCTTCCCTATCATTATGGGTACCACCATATAAACAGCACGGTTTCGAGCTTTGCACTAGAAGGCATTTGAGGTGTCTGCAGTGCTGAGGTGACCTTGCTGCAGCGATGCCGCGCAGGCATTGAAGTCCATTCACAGCGACATCGAGGTTCTCCCCCTCGCATATAAAGGCTCCCTAAATATCCTCACTCCACCAATGCGGTGGGTCTAGCAGGTGGGAGAAACGAACTGTTTTTACAGTATTTTAAACAAACTCGAACCACGAACATGCCTTTCCTCTTCTACAAAACCGCGGCTAACTTCAGAATACAACATTTCAACCTTCAGAACTTATTATATAAGAAAAAAAAACTACCCCTTCTTGTTGAAAGCCACGCTGCCTTTAATGTGAACGAGCGAACACTTACAACCAACATGGTGGCCCATCAAGTATGACGGCTGTTTTAGCCAGAGTAAGCAACCATGGTCGAGTTGTCACCACCCTAAAACATGGATCCGCGCTCATGAAGGCTCCCTACAAAAAACGCGCGAAAAAATGCGGGTGGAGTCTCGACTTTCGGTCTCGCTCCGAACACCACGACGTCATAGATTTTGAAGGAGTTTACTGGTTCCTACGCAGTTTTTAATGAATAAAAATGAAGTACATAGTCATCTGCGGGTGCCAATCACCTGGCACAGGAAATTTCAGCCAATTTTGTCGTACCAGTGTCGAGATATTGCGAAAAATGCGTTCTTGAATTTCTGACATCACACACGGAGCTTTTCTCCGCTGATAACGAACTTTTGATACTGACATATATTGATAATTGCAGTTTATCACTATTCACAATTCATAAATATACACCAAGACATTGCTTCTGTTTAGTGTCTCTTTGATGTGCCTGAAACGCCACTCACCTGATCGGCACCAGCCCTTTCCTTCAAAGAATTCCGCTGTCTCTTTTGGTCGTTTGTGATAGCCACGCATCACTGTCGGTATACGGAAGCAGATTTCGCCTGCCTCATTTGGACCCAGCTTGACTCTACTCACAGGGTCCGCCACCTGCGTGTTCCAGGGGTTTTCTTCTAATCTGGGCGCTATAATTTATGAATATTTCCTGATAGTGGACATGCCCGCAAGTTAGTTAGCACCGTCACTTTAAACAAATTTACCTCAACTAGAAATTGATGGCACCACCCTGCCGAAAAAAATTTTCTTTGTCAAAATTTATTCCATTAAAAAGATGTATCCGTTACAAACCACACACAATCAGTCATATACAACGGCAGATAACTAGCAGCAGGAAGCTCTAAAATGAAACGTTATATTGCCGGAGCCCTCATCTGGAAAACATTGGTGTTTCTCATATTCGGAAGACATAATTCCGAAACACTTACAACTAAGGCGATGTGAAAAAAAACTTTGTATTGTTGTGTACGCTAATAATCATTCCATAATATACTGAATTGAACTATACGAAAAATCATCGTTTTCTATGTCACATAGTTGTTCATTGCGGATATCCGCTACCTAGAAGTGCCTCATCCGAAATATCCACTAAGTTTTCACTAAGTTGTCGTCTGACAGGAAATATTCGACGGTGTTCATGGCTCGGAGAGCAGTGAGGGTTATTGGCTTCTCCTCAAATGCTACAAGGTCAGTGAACTTCTCTACGGAGTCTCGCCCTTGACCTCCACCAGAAGGTACCCACTGGCCATCTTCGTGGCCTTGTAGCTATTTCCGATTGTCCCAGTGAGGTGCCTGGGTGCAAGGAGTGGTGACATGTTTCGAGCATTCTTGTCAGGATACGCGCAATGACTAACGTGGTACTTGGAGAACAAGTCATGTTTATTTTTTTGTGGGGGGGATGTGTACTTGCATCTGTGCGCCAATTCTTTGCGGGGCGATTCATGGGTAATTAGTTCGATTCCATGGAAAAGGTTGTTCGTTCGGCTACAGCGCCTACAACGTGGCAGAACATGTGAGCAGGTCTGAACAAAGCCAGCAGCACGCCATTACTATAACCAAACCTGACTTAAAACCTCAAAAGATATCACTTGCCGCCAGGAAACAAGGAAGTAAATGGAAGAGAAGACAATACAGAAAAAGCTGTAATTTAAAGGAGAAAGAAAAATAGATATTTAGAGAAACATAAGAAAAGATGCCAAGTCGGTGTTAAAGGGGTGCGTTGCATTTACCAGAAGGCCTTAGAAGTCCAAGCACCCTGAGTAAGTCACACCCCCCCCCCATTCCCTTTCCCCAGATATGGCAATGCCATGCACGGCTAAGAGTGAAAAAAAAGTTGATTCCCCGCCCGTAGGCTCAGGTCCGTGGTAACACCACTCACAAAACACCTGCTTGCGCAGACACCCCTGCGGGCGCCTTGCACAACGAGTGCGAGGAAGGAAGCAGGAAAAGAACTTTATTTTGGTCCTGTGGAAAGACTAGTGTAAACCTACTTTTTTTTCTTCGGACGCGATGCAGTAGAAAGACTTCGTCTTTCTCTTTCGACATGAAAACGGCCCGCTAGGAGATGAAGCGCGCTCTGAAAGTCTCAATAAAGTTTATTCATCCAGCCATCCATCCACGCAGCAGTACCTTGTTTTGCACTAGCAAGAAAAAGTGACAGTTTCACCGTAAGGGCGGAGCAATGAATGCGACATCAAAAACTTGGAATGTAACATTTAGAATGGCAAGCACATCGAAACGTGCAGCGTGCTGCTCACGCACAAAAAAATGCACGAAAACAACACACACAGGATGTCAGCTAACTAACAATGTTTACAGATTGGCACTCAACGCGCCATTTAAACAAAAACAATGCACAAAATGTAATCATCGGTACAGATATGAGTGCAAACTAACAACTGTCCCAGTTACTTCGTTTTGTTTAGCACGCTCTTTTTGACAACAGGGCCTGTCCAGCGAGCGAAGTGATCTGTGTCCGCTCGGCAACTGAACGCAATCATTCGATGAAAGAAAAAGGCGCGCGATTCTCCCCCACCACAGGATAAATGCGCGGATAAAGCCCCCCTCCCTCCGCGGAGAAAAGCATGCGTGGGAATTGAGCACGCATCGGTGCATCGTGACGAGCTGGGCGCAGACCTTTGCGCTGAACTACACCGAGAGCACTCATCACGCCATCTCGCTGCTAATGCTCAGAACGCACCATTTACCAGTGGTAGATATAAATAGATTGTCGTTCAAAGGTGCTATTTGGTGGCTCAGTGGCTAAGGCCGCGCGTTCACAAACGTAGGTTCGGTTGTTTGATTCCGCGCATCAAAGCAATTATCAGGATTATTTTTCTTTCTTGTGTTTTCATATATACAGATACGTATACATATATGGGTAGTGACGGCGATGTCGGTGGCAAAACCCAGCCGAGAGTCTCCACATAATTGCAATTGCAATAAGAACTTGGGGCTCCTTAGGCTTCAATTTAACACTTGACAGCTATATCCTGTCCTTAGTGCACACTCCAAATACTAAATGAATAAAATCTTTGCGAGCTAATTATGCACCGGCTACGTCGCACTTAGGAAATAGGAGCAGTAACGCGTGTGCCTTTTGTAGTGGGTGACTGGCTTTAAGCATGGAAATTCATTATAGTACTCGCATGTTCTGATGCTCGGTGGCCATGTACGCTTGTACCACGCATTCTTATTGCCTTATTTCATAATTTATTATGAAGCACGTAATTAGGTCACGTGTGTTTGTAAAACATGAAAGTTACTATCACTGCATTTCCAAGCAGAGATAGTTATTTTCATCGTATTCGCAAGCAGACGTGTGGCTGTGTGGTAGAACACCCGCTGTACACGCAAATGACCCGAGTTTGATCTCAAACCCAGACCCGAATTTACTTAATAGTATTTATTTCCCTTGTATCTTTCTCAATTTTTCGGTCATGCATAAGATGGGTTTTCGCTCACAACCAACAATTCCGACGCCGGAATTTCTGCAAAACGAGCTCCTTACGCAAGAGCGTTAAAAATCACCTACCTTGTGTGCACCACAACGCTTTAGGTAGACACAAATTCTACGACAAACACAATGCAGCTGGGCTAGGTACGTTCTAAACGAAATAAAAATTTAGGAGTGTTTGGGCGAGATATTATTTGCTTTAGAGTTGATGGTGGTTACTTTCATAAATCTACAAGATTAAGAGAATAGTTCTCACGAACCAAGTTTCTAAACTGCAAAATTCTTATTCTTTCCAGTTTACACGGTCAGTACTGCATAAAAAAAAACCTCGTTGTGAACAGTTATACAAATACCTTGATTTCAACCATGGCCCCTGGAAAACCCATGCCAATTCCTATCGCCTCGTGCAGAGAAGTTGAACAGACGATGCCACCGCTCTCCGTCATAGTGTACATGATGACCAAGCTGTCGAGATTCTCGAATGCCTTGAAGGCCGCATCATACGTTGCTTGTGAAAGTAAACCACCGGCCACGCCGATGCGACGGATGCTCCTGATCTGCTTTCCGTCATGGAGCATCTCTTCTGCTAAAGTCTGAAGTCGTGTCGGAAATGAGAACATAGACGTAATCTGCATGGAAGAGTGAGCAGTGACGGTAAGGCGAGGCAGAGGCTTTCTTCAAAGGGTGATGAAATGTTTACCACTAACACCACCGTAGAGGTGATGACCATTCAGGTGATCAGTGAGGTTCTTACTGATGAGCGATATACAAATGCAAGCGAGGACATATCGGCTCATGGCGTTTTTATCATCTACCGTGTGAATACGCAATTCATATTAGTATGTAGAGACGTCGAAATCTCGTCTTCCTTTTTCTAACGAACGTTTTCTTTCGACAATGGCCTAATACATTTGTACCATAATTAAATGGCCGACGATAGTATAATAAAGAAGGTATGAAGGCTTAGTTAACCTAATACTGTCTGTTAGACTTTGATGTGATTATGGGAGACACCGGAAATGTCAGCCACCTCTACTTAGTGTTTTGCGAAGAGTGAAATTTAGAACTGAAGGGAATGGTAATCGAGCAAAATCGATTACGAATACTTATTGAATACTACTCAAAAAAGTTGGGAATTGCACGGCACAGTGTTTCAAGATATAAGCCTGAAATCCTACACCATCTTATTTCAAACGAATATTCAGAAGTTTTAACATAATAAGAACGCTGTTACATCTAACCATCAAAAGATACCGCATTTATGTAAACCTATGCAAGTTTATATATAGGCTAAATCGACTACAGCCTTCAAAAATAATCTAATCGTATTATATGTCTTAGTTCTCGGAGTTTGTTGTCAATTACTTCGCAATGTTCGTAAAACGTTACCTGTGGTTGCAGTCCTGGCTATGCAAACTTATAAACAGTACATATGTATTTTTATCATACACCCGTCACTTTGAGATAACAACAATCGTATTAACTGATTGATAAGTAGGACTTAATGTTCGGAAACCACCTAATGCTTATGAGAGACGCCATAATCAAAGGCTCCGGAAATTTTGACCACCTGGGGCTCTTTAACAAGCGCCCATAGGAGCACACGGGCACACAACGATTTCGCCTCCATCGAAAATGTAGCCACCGCAGTCAAGATTCGATCCCTCGACCTGTAACGGCAATTGTAGTTAAGCGCCATCCACTTAAGCTCTTTTGTCTAGGAGTGTCCAGGGCCGCCATCCTTGCTTGCACATGCAAGGTATATCAGTCTACCACTTCTCATTCAGTTCCGTTCAGTTCAGTTTATTTCCTTAAAGGCCCCGTTTATAGGGGTGTTACATAAGGGGTGGGGACAACATGTAATGGGTAAATCCAAATAAAGGTAAAAACCAATAGAACTTTGGAAAAAGAGGAGAAAGTAAAAGAAAGAAATGTTGATACACTGTGAAAACGAGAACACGCGCTAAGTAATTCATTTGGTAACATTAGAAGAAACAACATGATGTGGCAATATAACGTAGTAATCATTGAAAATCTTGCACAAAATAACACTGTACAAATAAATACAACAATAACACACAATGAACACTGTAGAAATAAAGACTGGCGTTAAGTACAATCAATGGCAACTAATTTGGTAAAACAGAAGACACAGCAGCATAGAACATGTGACAGTTATTGGTAGATACAACATGGTGCGGAAGGGCATTCCACTCTGACGCTGTACGAGAAAAAATTGAAGTAGAGAAAGTAGTAGTGTGTGTGCGCGGTTTTGAAACCTGTAGTGGGTGACCAGTGCGTTGCGATATTATTGATGGTGGGGTGATGTACGGCATGCGGTAAAGTGAACTGTAAAAGAACTTATGAAAAAGACTAAGGCTGGATATCGTACGACGGTGTAAGAGGGATTGTAGTTTAGATTTTTCTTTTAGGGCGAATATGCTTACGTCATATAGTAGTATGAATGAATGAATCTTGCTGCGCGATTTTGAAGAGACTCAAGTGCGTTGATGAGGTATTTTTGATATGGGTCCCAGATTGGTGAAGCATATTCAACTTTAGGCCTGATTAGTGTTATGTACGCTGGTAATCTTACGTCGCGTGGGGCATGACGTAAGTGGCGCCTCAAGAAGCCGAGTGATTGGTTCGCCGATGACAAAATGCTATTTATATGTGTGCCCCAGTTAAGATCAAATGAAATTAATACTCCTAGGTACTTGAATGATGGGACTGTTTCAATGAGACTATTGGCTATCATGTAAGAAGAAGTAATGGGACTGTGACTAGGGGTAAATGATATATGTTTGCATTTTTTGGATTGAGAGTCATTAGCCACCGGGTACACCAAGACTACACGTGGTGAAGATTTTGCTGTAATGTATCTGCGTCAGTTATATTGTTAATGGTATGATAAATCACGCAGTCGTCTGCGAACATACGGATTTTACAAGTTAAATGAAGGGTAAGTCATTATTATATATCAAAAAGAAATGGGCCAAGAACAGACCCTTGGGGGACACCTGAAGTAACCGGAAGTGGGATGGAGGACTGATCACTGACACTGACCAATTGCGAACGGTAGACAAAAAATGCTTCAAGCCATTTTAGTACGTCGGAGTTTAAGTTTAAGAAGGAAAGTTTATGTAACAAGTGTCGGTGAGAAACCTTGTCAAAAGATTTTTCATAGTCGAGGAAGATAGCGTCAGTTTGTCTGTTACAGTCAAGATTCGTATGAAGGTCGTGAATGGAAAGAGCTAGCTGCGTTTCGCAAGAAAGGCCCTTGCGGAATCCATGTTGTGCAGGATGAAAGAAATGATTGGCATTCAAATGGTCCATAATGAGTGATTACAGGACGTGCTCCATGATTTTACTTGGCAGACTCGTAAGGGAGATGGGGCGATAAATTAGCGGGTGAAGCCTGTTACCTGCTTTGTAGATGGGAATGACTTTTCCCACTTTCCAGTCGTGAGGAATGCAACCTACTGAAAACGACTGAGCAAACAACAGACACAAAAATGACGAAGATATATCTTTAGTGTTTCTTAACAGTTTTGAGTTAATACCATCGATACCGGCACAGGACGAAAGTTTTAGGTTATCAATCACATTTGAAATACCATCTACGCTGAACGTAATGGCCGGCATGGTGGATACTTTGTTGCTAGACAGTAAAGGTAGAGGAGCACTAGTATCCTTAGTAAAAACTGAGACGAAGGCATTGTTGAAAGTTGTGGCGCAGTCAGTATCAGACATATTGTTCTCCGAATTATCAGCAAGGCTTAAGGCGCTAACATGACTTGGGTCATGTTAGCGCCAGAATTTCTTTGGGTTTTCTCTAAGTATTTTGGGCAAGTCATTGTTAAAAAAAGCATGCTTGGCACCACGAACAGCAGATAGATACAATTTTTCGGGAGAATAATATTTTTCCCAAACGTTAGCATTCGTACCCTGTTTAGCAGCTCGGAAAAGTCTTTTCTTCTTATTTTCTAAACGCTTTAAGTGAATAGTGAACCACGGCATCTGCCGATTCTCACGGAAGGTAATTTTCGGTATATGTTTCTCTGGTAATTGAATCATTTTACTTTTAAAGAGCACCCAGTTATCGTCAATAGATTGCTCGTGAAATAGAGACTCAAAGTTAGGTAGAAAAGCAGCTAATTCGTCAATAATGGCTCGGAAGTTTCCTCTATCGTATAGGCTGATTGTTTTGCTACATTTTGCACGTGGTGGTGCGGAAAATAAAAATGTGGCGTTAAGAACTTTGTGGTCACTGATAGGAGGACGAAAGGTTAAAGATGATAAGCTGTCTGGGTGATTAGTTAGTATAAGGTTTAAGACGTTCGCGCAGTCATGCGTAACACGTGTTGGTTCGGAAACAAGCTGTGAAAGATTAAAGTTTATACAGACGTCGATGAAATCGTCGTCCTTTGCTTTTGCCGAAAGCAGTAAGATGTTTGGGGGCATTTCGAACGGCTGGTGAAAAATCTTCGCCACTTGCGCAATTACTCCCCTTTAACTTACGACCGCCAGCCAGGACTAATTCTTTAGTTTTGTAGAGCGCAAATTTAACTATGATGGGGCGGTTACGGCCAGGTGAGTACCGTCCCAGCCGGTGTGCACGCTCTAATTCCTTATCATCAAGGCTTATGTGCATGTGCTCACGAATCTTATCAATGAATAATTTTTCGGACTGCGTAAAGGTTTCAGAAAAGTTGGAATCAGGAATTCCATACAATATTAAGTTATTTTTACGAAACCGGTTGTGAGCGTCGTCTATGCGGCCCCCGAGAATAGCCACCAGGTGACCAGTTACGCCAGTAGCAGGATGTACTGCTTCTAATTCGTTGCGTAAGGGCATGAGTGCCTGGTAGCGTTGCTCAAGTTCCGTCATTCACTTACTTAGATCCGTCAGTCACTGACATCGTTATTGTGGATATTTTAAAATAATAACCTTACTTGATTCACACAATTCATGTAAGACGTTGCCTATGTAGACATAGCGTTTGAAAATCTCGTACCCAGTACGAGGAACGCAGGTGTCATTGGTCACTTCTTTATAAGAGGTATTATCAATTTAAATTAACTAGTTCTTAGTGTACATGGACCCCTCATCACAGCATTAACGGACGATCATAGAAACAACTATACTTCTGCTCATGGTGCTCACATTTCACAGTGACCTATCGATACGTGGACGTCACAGATACGTCACAGATGTATACGTATTCGTGATGTGTGCACACGTAACCACCAACACGTGCTAATGAAACATTTCTGCCTACTTCACTTCATGCTGGTAGTGCGTGAAGCTAACGTCCTCATATCGGCAGGCTTCGCATAACGTCGATTTCCAAGGTGCGTAAGAAATGCATTTTTTTTCCTTTCAATCGTCAAGCCCTTATTGAGCGGCTTTTTTTCTCATCTGAGCCATGTATATGCCTGCGCATGTCCGGAATAAAGAATCATGCTTAAATGCTTAACGAATAACTTACATTGTGTTCATCAGCAAGTTCAGTGATTTCTTGAAGGCTGAGGCCTGGCTGCGCAAGGACGCAGACCGATCCATCGAGAACAGCCATCAATCCGAGCAGCAGTCCAGACAGGTGGCCGATAGGAGCCGAAGCGAGCACAGTATCCGTTTCATCTGATGACATACAAGGCCTGAGAAGGAAGGTTTGTTATGTTTGGCCGTCGCGGTTGTTTATCCTAGCCGAACATATACGAGAGAAAACGATTCGAGCTTGACTCTATCAGCAGACTCGATGCGCAGCCACATGTCAGATAGCGTTCCTCAGTGCACATATGTTGTTTAACTAGATTTCAAAGAAATGTAGTACACATATCTTGTAACAATCACTTATGCAGAACAGGCTCACACGATCTGCTGATCGTGCAGCCTCCGCCGCGGTTAACGTGCTTGCGGGAATCATTATTGACTTAACCCCTTAAATGCTCGTTTTTTTTAATATTTTCCATCCAAAAGTGCCTATTTTTATTGCCTATTTAGAATCTGACTGCACTAAAAAGTAGCTAGTCAATGTTAAAAAATATTTTCATGACATGCTCAGTGAAATCAAATGAATAAAGTGTATTTCTGGACAATACAAAGAAAACCAGCTACATGATGCTAATGAAAGTTTAAAACCTTATGAAGCAAAGAGTTACAGACGCCACACCTTTTTTCGCTTCGGTAGGCTACGAATCCTTCGGGTATTTCACTCGAGGAGCTTCGGAACTGCGTGGACAATTTCCGAATGGGTAGTATCGCAAGGCGGCTTCACTGGCGGTCACTTGCAGCGTTTGTGTCCTAGCCGCCTTGATGATCACCGGAGCAACTTCTCGATTCACCGTAATCGCTGTCTTTATTAGTGGGAACACGATAAATAGCTGTGCTCTAATCATCATTGCTAAAAGAAGATGACGAAAATGAATAGCATTTCTTTCATGTTCACGTGCCTGCTATGCATGTGTCGCCGCCACTGCACGCCGTTTTTCCATACAAAAACTGCACTTATGCCACAGGGTAAAAACAAATCCCCGCTAAAATGCCGCTATCTAGAAGATGACACGCAATGTGAGTCGTAAGTGCGCGCTTCTCCATCTGAACGCTAGAAGAGAGTAATTATTTTGCTTGGACGAGTTCTATTCGTCCAAAGAAGTTTGGTGACAGTTTGGGCAGGACGAGCTCTGTTCGTACGAAGCAGTTAAGGGGTTAAGTGGCCTAGAGGAGAAATGACGTACGTAGCTTGAACTCTGCGCGAAACGCTCTCGTCGAATATAGCGGAAAAATGGACCATCACATCAACTTTAGCACCACCCGGGTCATCGACACGTAAGGTGGCCGCACGAAAAGGCAATTGTTATTGTTGATGTTCACGTTCCTATAACATCCATATTTCGAATATGGGTTTGCGGTTTCTATCCTTATTACAGCTCAGGGTAAACACATGTAGATAAAGAAATGCAAATATAGCATTATTGCAGCGACACGGTTCAATTATTGAAATGTAACAGGAACGCTTTCATTTCTCGATAAAAGAACCTGTTCAGTGAGTTCAATTCAACATTTCGAAGAAAGTAGGAACGAGCTTTCGTTCCTATTTTGGAAGAACGTCAACATAGCTGTAGAGCCCACGGCATAACCTGGCCGCTTCAGAGATAAGAGTAATCTCGAACGTGTCTCCCTTAGAAGAAAGAATCTATTGGAAGGTTTACGTCCCTACTGAAGAAAGTCTGGGGAAAGTGCCGTAATACCTGCTGCCGGAATGTCGTAAGTCAAAGTGACGACATGACAAACTTGGTCCCAGCTTGTGTGATTTTTTTTCACAAAGATGCAAACCAACCAATTGCAGCAACGAAAAGAGCTGACCAACAAAAACAATCTCCCGAAGCTTTGAAGACATTTATAATGACTGTATTCTTTCTTGCAACATCGACTGCAGTGTTGTTGTCGTGCATACGCTAGCTCATGTGCGCCAAGCGTCTCATCAAGGAAAGCGCCAAGCGCAAGCACATGAGTGCACTATATTGGCGTTATATGATGAAGCTTGCTCATTCGCTCTCCTTAGTGTCGTCAGTTTGCGTGTCTAAGGTAACTAAGCTCATCCGCCATGCGCACTGTACTGTTCACGCTATTTTTGACGTTATTCTCTCTGCCCAACTGCACCCTTCGACAGTTTACTAGCATGTCTTCTCAGCTCTTTACCATCTGCGATACTTTATGCGGTCACACAAATGTAACGGTGATACAAGCTTATCGTTAGACATTAACTCATAAGACTACGTACTTCGATATGCAGAAGTTTGCAACGAAGCTATGGTGAGTGAGCTCGACGCCCTTCGGAAGTCCCGTGGTGCCCGACGTGTAGACAACAACGAAGACTGCTTCCCTCGGGTCTCCGACAGGGCACTCCCTGAAGGTGGACTGGTCCAGGTACTTGAATGATGCGGCATCCGTGAAACCAGACACAGGACCCATTGATAATAGACCCTGAACAAGATCGTGTTTTTGTAGAGCATACAAACAGTACTAAGTAATGGGGTATGGCGCTTTAGGCGGGCATTTTCGAATCAAGATTTGCAGTTTACTATCCCTCAAGAGAATTAGCTTAAATTTGCCGCTGCATCTTACGGGTCCTTACATACGGAGCAGAAACGTGGCGGAAATTTAGATAGATATTCGAGGATTAACGTCCCAAAACCACTATATGATTAGTAGAGACGCCGTAGGGGGTGGGCTTTGGAAATATCGACCAACTGGGGTTCTTTAACGTGCACTCAAACATGAGCCCATGGCCCCGCAGCATTTTCGCCTCCATCAAGAATGCAGCCGCCGCAGCCCGAATTTAATCCTGCTTCCGCAGCCGGTCAGCCGCTGAAAACCTTAGCCACTACACCACCGTATCAGGGCGGGCGGAAAATGGGAAGTCATTGAAAGGAAAATTTAAAGTGTAACGTGAAAGGTGAAAGGAGATAACAAGGAGGGCCAGGGAACAAATTACTGTTAAGGACATAACAGTCAAAATTTAGACGAAGATATAGCATTGACACGGTATGTAAGTGAAGATAAGATAACCACTAGCCAATAATAGTAACTGAGTGAAGGGAGCCAGCCCGCAGAGTCAGTCGGTATCGCAGTAAACATGCGCAATTCTTTCGCCTCACAGCCACCTATCTATAGCTATGAGCTGTCTAATTATAGGCCCTGCTTTACAGAAATGCTAGCTAAATTTGTACCTGCAGGCAATTTTGTCGTGCCGCTGTTAGCGTCGATGCAGAGAAATAAATGACTTAGTGGAACATTTTCTAGAGAATTTCGAGGGGCAAAGAATTTTCGCTGATGCTTCAGAGGCACGACGTCACGCTTCTGCCAAGGTGTGATTGAACCTTGGCGGCACTGTTGCATCACCTTATTTAGTCACTTAGCGGCATGCACTGGCATGTACAGCTTTATGCAACTTTTTATTTCGGCGTGCTTTTGAGCGGGAATACAGAGGACGAACGCTGCATTCGTCATGGATGTGTCCGAATATCATAATTAGGGCTCTGTGCCTTCGCATAAATACAAAAAAATTAATGGATAAACATGCACGCGTATAAATTTTGAATATTCGGATTTATCCCACGTTCTCCAATTTAACGACCCTTTTGAACTTTGTCCACTTTTATGGAACCAGCAGGATCTAAGCAGTCATTACACGTGGGCCGGTTCAGCTGATATAAACTACAGCTTTTCTTCACCTCTCCCTCTCTTTTTTCCGTTATCAACAGCGTTGCCGTGCGATCAGTCATGCTGCGATTCACAACAACATGTTGATGAATCTTTTGGACTCTTTCGAAATCGAGTGTCCACTGGCACCCTCTATACCAATTACCGAAGAGATATACGAGAAAAAAAATCACGGCATATTCACAGCGTGAATGATGATGAGTGGGGCGAAGCGTCCGTCAGCCCATTATGCTTCCGTCCGTCCATTCGTTCTTGCTTCCGTACGTCCGCCCGACCATCCGTGCGTCCATCCATGCGTCCGTCCATCTGTCCATGCGTCTATCCATCTGTCCATTTGTCCATCCGTCCTCTAGTCTCTCTGTCCAGCTGTCCGTGCGTCCATCTAGTTAACACTCCAAGCATCGCCATCTCGCATCCCCTGTGGCACATACCCGCTCCATGCATCCGTCCATCCGTCTGTCCATCTGCTAGTCTGTCTGTCCATCCCTCCATGCTTTCATCTATGCGTTAATCTAGTGAACACTCCAAGTACCGCTATCTCCCATCTCGCATCCCGGTTGCTTTATAGGACAGCGACGGATGAGTGACAGAGCCACATCTTAAGGAGTTCAGCCCCTAATAACTCCATGAGGTTATAGCGAAAGGCTGCGTGATAAGCTTTTTTATGGCAGACCAACACACCAACCCATTTTAATAACCATCGACGAGTGGTGGTGGTGAAAAGCATTTACTATTATATTTACAGTGAGAGTTGCAAATAAGGCACGTCTAAAGGGCCTGCCTTTGATAAACACTAGAAGGGATCCCTAGTCCAATATCCTTACCGCTGCCGTGGCGCCTTGGGCTCTAGCCCCTAACGCCTGTTGGGCTTGGAAGTCAGAGAAGCTGAGCAGCACAGCTTCGCAGTTCACTCGCGTGGGGAGAAGTGGGGGGTAGATGGAATTTGAGGGGCATGCCCACAACACTAGATATGTGCCACAAGACATCTCCACGCAGTGCAGCACGCGCCCGAGAAGGTCGAATTGAAATGCTTCAATACTGCAGGGCATAGTACAGTATTGGTGAAGAAGTGGAGAAGCCAGCACTCCTCCACCCTGGTGAAGTCTTTACAGAGGAGAATATCTCGTGGTACCCAGTGGCATTCTTGGTGGGCATGTGAAATATAAAGTGCATACTTGCATTTATGTGCACACTTGGCTTCTAAAATATTGCATTCAAACTTCAAATATTGCTTCAACCAGTCGTGATGTTTCTGTATGTTTCACAGTTTGCAAATAAAGAATTGAATTGAATTGAATACCTGCTTAATGTGCTTCGACATAGCAATGCACTTTCAATTGAAGTTACGTGGCTTCTGAAATGAGCTAATAAAGGTGGCAGCAAATCTAGCATAATTCAGTGATCTCTTAATCAGCTTCCAATTAAGAGTCCTATTCTAAAGTAATCAAAAAATTGACATTTAGTAAAATGACAATTTTTAAGGCTGCTTTGCGCTGAAAATTCCTCGTCATAAGATTATTTTAGAATAAATAAAATGAATAAGCCACTAAAATATAACTTTTTACATTGAAAAATAGGTGACGCATTTTATACTAATCCATCTCCACGCAGTGGAGATAGATTACCGGGCCTGATGCCCGTATTTTATACTAATCCATCTCCACGCAGTGGAGATGGAATACGGGGCATGGACTACGGGGCCTGATGCACCCAAAAAGTCACAAATATAAGCCCCTACACTCCACTATTCACCATTTTGTGCCAACGTCTTTAGTCTCGAAACTGTTCGCTCAGAGTGAATAGTTTTTCTGAGACCGAAGATTTATTCAATGCAATTAAGTGTTCATGTTCTCTCAAAAAATATATGCTTGTTCTATTCACGTACCTTGAGATCAAGAGACGAAATTGCTTTCCTCACTTTTTCGGCCTGTTCAACGTCTGTAAGAACATGTGTGCTGTCACTGTCGACGATCTGCCCACGCAGCTCTCCTGCGAAATGATAGACCACAAAAGTAACAAATATAAAAGAACTAGTTTTTCTATGAGCGCCTAAAAGAGCAACAATAAAATCGACGTAGCATCACTGAGGTTTCGCGGTTTATTTCACCAAAACAAGCGTCATCAAACGGCGCAGTACCATCTCGAAACACACATAAGAACGGTGGGAGATACTACATTAACTCGCGTAGTTGGAAAGATTCTACGTTTAGCCACTTTGCCCCGCCACGGTGGTCTAGTGGCTAAGGTACTCGGTTGCTGACTCGGAAGTCGTGGGATCAAATCCCGACTGCGGTACCTGCTTTTCCGATGAAGCCGAAAATGCTGCAGGCCCGTTTGCTCAGATTTAGGTGCATAATACTGAACCTCATTTGGCCGAAAATTGCGCAGCCCTTTACTACGGGGTCTCTCTTATTATTATGGTCGTTTTGGAACGTTAAACACAACATATCAATCAAGATATTTTCCTAAAAGTAAAGATGACGGCAGATTTGTCTGGCTAAGTAAAATTACACGAATAAGTGGACTGTGCACGTGCATTTAGTGCACAGTATAAAAAAAACTGACCATACGTTTCGAGACCGCTTCGGTCTTTCTCAGGCGGTGCTTCACCGGCCAGCTCCGAAGCTAGCAACTTTTCTGATTGGCTGTCCCCCTATGATCCTACATTCAGGCTTACACACACACACACACACACACACACAACACACACACACACACATATATATATATATATATATATATATATATATATATATATATATATATATATATATATACATAATATATATTGTCACGGCGCAGACACAGCAGAAGTCCGATATAAAAGAGCTCACTTTAATTAAAATGAAAGGCGCTCGTAAAGAGGACCGGGCAAGAGCTTCGTCTTCCTTTCTGGCTGCGCGAGCTCTCCTCTGCAGGTTGAATGCGGCATTTGCCTCCCTCCAGAAAGAGCATCGTCCCGATGCTCGGCTACAGAATACGTGGTGTATGTAGTTGACGTATTACGCAACTGGCTCACTGCAATATGGCTTCATCCGCACAACGTGTACGATTTCAGATTTTTGAGTTCGCGAGGAACTGCCAGGAATGACCTCATAATTCACGTCACTTAGGCGCCGTACAACATTGTAGAGACCAAAGTACTTCTTCAGTAACTTTTCAGAAAGGCCGCGTCAGCGAATAGGGCTCCAGACCCACACTTTCTCGCCTGGTTGATAAGTGACGTATCGGTGTCGCAGGTTATAACGTTGTGCGTCGTAACTCTGCTGCCGGGTGACTCGCACGCGTGCTAGCTGCCGCGCCTCTTCAGCTCGTTGGGTAAAGGCTTCAACATCCGTGTCTGTATCGTCGCAGTCGTGCAGCAACATGGCATCAAGCATTGTCGTCACTTCACGGTCATAAAGAAGACTAAATGGCGTGCTTCGGGTAGTTTCCTGCAGCGCCGTATTAGAGGCAAACGTCACGTACGTTAGATCGTCGTCCCAATTTTTGTGATCCACGTCGATGTACATACTCAGCATATCAGCAATTGTCTTGTTAAGGCGTTCTGTTAAGCCGTTGGTTTGTGGGTGGTAGGAGGTAGTTTTTCGATGCGCTGTTCCACTCAACTCAAGCACTCACTTGAGGAGCATGGCCGTGAAAGTGGCACCTCTCTCGGTTATCATAATTCTAGGAGCACCATGCCTCAGAACGATATTTTCAATGAAAAATCGTGCCGCTTCTACTGTGGTTCCCCTTGATAAAGTCTTTGTTTCTGCGTAGCGAGTAAGATAGTCCGTAGCAAAAATTACCCACTTGTTTCCAGTATGCGAGGTCAGAAATGGTCCAAGGAGATCCATTCCAGCTTGTGCAAAAGGCATGGTGGGCACTTGAACTGGTTGCAACAATCCGGCTGGTTTTAAAGATGGCGATTTTTGTCGTTTACAATCGAGGCACGTGCGGACGTAATGCTTTACAATGCCTGGAAGCTTCGGCCAGTAGTACTTTTGTTGGATTCTGGCCAATGTGCGCGTGTATCCGAGGTGGCCGGAGGTTGGCTTATCGTGGCAAGTGCTCAGGATCTCATCGCGAATGGATGTCGGGACGACAAGTAAGTGGGCAGTTCCGCTGGGGGAGAAGTTCTTGTATAGGACACCACTGCGCAAGCAGAATGATGGCAGGCTCCTTGCAAATATCTTGGGAACGCTTGTAGACTGGCCGTGAATAAAATTAATAAGATGAAGCAACTCACTCTCTTCTTTCTGCTTAGACGAAACGGTGACCGTGTCGACCACTCCTAAAAATGCCATGTCATCATCTTCTGAGACATCGTCTTGCTTTATGGGCGACCTGGATAAGCAATCAGCATCAGAGTGCTGCCGTCCCGACTTATAGACGACCGTCATATCAGATTCTTGTAGACGTAAGCTCCAGCGCGCTAGCCGACCAGATGGGTCCTTCAAGTTGGTCAGCCAGCAAAGGTAGTGGTGGTCGCTGACTACGTGGAAGGGACGGCCATAGAGGTATGGGCGAAACTTCAGAACTGCCCATACTACAGCAAGACATTCCTTTTCCGTTGTGAAATAATGGGACTTGGCACGGGAAAGCGTCCTACTTGCATAATGATTGATATGTGGGGTTTAACGTCCCAAAACCACCATATGATTATGAGAGACGCCGTAGTGGAGGGCTCCGGAAATTTCGACCACCTGGGGTTCTTTAACGTGCACCCAAATCTGAGCACACGGGCCTACACCATTTCCGCCTCCATCGGAAATGCAGCCGCCGCAGCCCGGATTTGAACCCGCGACCTGCGGGTCAGCAGCCGAGTACCTTAGCCACTAGACCACCGCGGTGGGGCGTCCTACTTGCATATGCAATCACTCTCTCGGCTAAGTCTTGCCACTGGACGAGTACAGCACCTAAACCTACGTTACTGGCATCGGTGTGGATCATGGTAGGAGCGTCCTCGTCAAAGTGAGCAAGCACAGGTGATGTCTGCAGGCGCTGTCGTAGACCGTCAAATGCTGCTTGTTCCTCTTCGCCCCATAAAAATGGAACATCGCCTCTCATTATGCGTGTTAAGGGCGACGCTATGTGCGAGAAATTGGCGATAAACCTGCGGTAGTAGGCGCAAAAGGTAAGAAAATGTCTTACGGCCTTCTTTTCTAATGTCACCAGAAATTTTCGGACGCCGTCGATCTTGTCAGGGTCCGGACGAACACCTTCATGGCTCACCACATGTCCTAAGAATCGGAGTTCCTTGATTGATTTGTGGTGTTTAACGTCCCAAAACCACCATATGATTATGAGAGACGCCATAGTGGAGGGCTCCGAAAATTTCGACCACCTGGGGTCTTTAACGTGCACCCAAATCTGAGCACACGGGCCTACAACACTTCCGCCTCCATCGGAATTGCAGCCGCCGAAGCCGGGATTCGATACCGCGACCTGCAGGTCAGCAGCCGAGTACCTTAGCCACTAGACCACCGCGGCGGGGCAATCGGAGTTCCTTGAAATTGATATGACATTTCTCAGGTTTCAGCGTTAAGCCAGCGGACCGTATTGCTCGAAATAATAATAGCAGCCGTCTTAGATGTTCCTCGAATGTTGGTGAGAAAACAATGACGTCGTCGAGGTATACCAGACACGTCTGCCACTTAAAGCCTAATAGGACGGTATCCATCAGTCTCTGAAATGTTGCTGGGGCTGAGCACAATTCGAAGGGCAGGACTTTAAACTCGCAAAGCCTGTCAGGCGTAACAAAAGAGTCTTTTCTCTGTCCCGCTCATCGACCTCAATTTGCCAATAACCGCTTTTCAGGTCCATCGACGAGAAGAAGCGTGCATGCCTCAGCCTGTCAAGTGAATCGTCAATACGCGGTAATGGGTATACGTCCTTCTTTGTCACACGGTTCAGCTTGCGGTAGTCCAGACAGAGGCGTAAGCTGCC